GGCTCAGGCTGCCCTTTTTAGAACCCCCTTCACATCTGCTCTCTGCACTCGGTCTGTCTTTTAAGACACGGTCTTGTCTTCCCAGCATTCCCTGAGCTATTGACATGCAGCAAGTCTCTTCTCTCCTTTGTGCCCTTACTGTATCTGTTCACTTCAGGTGTAGAGCTGTTGAATGATACTTGTCTGTGTTGATTCATTTTCATGTGTCTCTATCTCCCCTAGAATATAGAGCAGAATCTGTCTTTTATGTATGTTGCCAGCTTGTCCCAGGATAATGCCTATGATCTGACGGATACAGTCAATATATGTTGTCTTCCTGACTGATTGATTGAATGGCCAAGTGTAGGAATATGATGTTTTCTGAAGTTGGGTTTTTGTTACATTTTGTTTTGTTTTTATAGGAAGAAGCAACAAAGCCGAAAACTGGGGGAAAAGAGAATGGCGCTCGGACTATTAACAGTGTCCTAAAGGAGCAAGCAGGTCATAGCAAATTGATTTCTGTTGATGGAGCACACGAAAGTGACAGAGGTGGTAAGTCAGTGAGCACCTATGGATTTTCTTCTCTGCTTAAAAGCCAATGTGGTTGGAGCGGGGAGGGTACAGCTCAGTGGGAGAGCACGTGCCTAGCATGCACGAGGTCCTGGGTTCAATTCCCAGTACCGCCATTAAAAAAAAAAAAGCTAGTGTAAAAGATCTAAAGTGCGTGGATCCAAATATGATATCCATTTCTTCTTAAGTGTTTTTCTTTTGCCATCTTCTTTCATAAATATCCCAACTACGACCAAGTTTTCTTCCAGAAAATGCTTCAACCCTCTGAAATTCTTTTCTGCCACTTTATTGACATATTCATGAATCGAGATAGACTTATGTATCTATTTAAACTTCCCAGTGGTATGTGTTCTCATTAATGTATCTGTGACTGCATTTTGTAGATGCAACTTCAGCATTAGGATTAGAAGAAAAGGAAGATGTCGAATCACCCTTGGATTCTGAGGTGCTGCCTTCTATTAGTATTATTTTCAAATATAAGCATTGCGTGATGTTAAAACATAAATGGAGGGATGTTTTGACTTCACTTTCTCACTTTTGCATTTTCCCAGCAAAATTTTTTCCTCATTTTAACCCACACTTAGTAAAGTCATGCCGTGCTACATGTCATACCACTGCAGAGTGCACTTCTGTTAATTTTCCAGACTCACCTAGTGAAACTGGTGTATGTAGTGCAAAAGCCAAGGCTTAGAAGTCACAGGGAATCGGTTTGGGTTCTGAAGTTACCTTTTCTAAAAACTAAAGAAAATAATTCTTGGTCAGCCTGTGACCAGATGTTTGTTTCTTTGGTATAAATGAATGTGTAAAACTCTTAGATTCAGAGAGAAACAGGTTGTACTAAAAAAAAAAAAACCCACAAAAAAACGGTGCTTTTGTTTGTTTAACCACTTTGTCCTTGAAAAGACGGTGCCTGTGACTTGAAAGTACTATTATATTTGCATTGTCAAGTAGATCTGCAATGAACATTTCAGGAGAAGCAAAAGCATGGGGAATAGTAATAAATATGTGGGGTTAAAATACCAGCAGTTTGGTTTAGTGATGTTTTAATGAGGACAGCCCATTTTGGGTAGGGAAAATAGCGTGCAGTGAGT